GGCCGAGGACTCCCTCCTACAGCTTGTCTTATATCCTGCTGTTGCGTTTAGAGTTCTTGGGCCTCTTAAATTCACCTGGAGAGCAAACTGTATTTAGGCCGTTTGGATTCAGGATGAGAATCGAAGCGAGGGAGCAGCTAATGACGGCGATTGCCAGAGCAAAGCAGCTTTCCAGAGCCATAAAACAAAACGAATCATCGGTTTAGGACTGACGCTTCCGATTCACATTGACAGCAAGGCGAGGAAAGTGTTGTTTTCATTCAAACCTCTTCATGTTTTGGAAGTCTCCTACAGGAGAAGATGGAATTTCCTAAGGACAGGACCAGAACTGGGGATGATTTTCCAAGTGGCTTCTGCTACTATGAGATCAGTACGTTCTCTTTCCCCCCCCTTGTGAGTCAGTTTGCATTTATGGGCCAATTAAAATTTAATAGAGATGCAGAAAAGCTTAAAACGTTTTACTGTCACGGAAAGTTGCCTTCTTTGTCTTGGGCTGAAGCCGCCCCTCCGGAGATCACCCGTGTACCCGTGTTTCACCCATGTTCACGCAGTGGAGCAAGATTGGAACCCGGGTCTGGGGCCAGCCCATCCCTCCCCCCCCTCCATGCAGCATGTGGGGGTTAGCAGAATATCTGGAGTGCAGCCCCTCTGGGCTCCAAAGGAATTTGTGGCGATTCTCAGCTAGAGAGCAGTTTGTTGTTGTTTTTAATTTGGGGTGGAGGAATGAATGAAGTGGGGGGAGGGAGACATCATCATACATCTTTCATCCAACATCAATGCCAAGGCTGAATTCAACAGGCCCATCCCAATCCACAGAGGTGCAGATGGAGGCAGGCGTCATGGCTCACGGGGGGGGGGGGCACAATTCCTGGTGCTGCTCACAGTTTACAGAAATAGTTTCTCTGGGAACTTTTTCTTCAAACTCCCGAGCCTGGTGCAGCTGTGGCTGTCCATGGAGAAATCCCACCCAAATGCTAACTAGCACTGGCCCGTCTTAGCTCCCGGGGGTCACAATTCCCTGATCCCATTAGCCCTATTAGATCCCCTCATCCAACTGTGCAATTTCACCTGGCTGGTTCACCTGGGCCAGGCTCATCCGCCCATTCCAGCGGCTTCCTGCTATCCAGTTGCATAAATTGCTCAGGCCAAGGGGCACCAGACAATTAACCTGGGAATTAACATGAATATAACGCCAGCCTTTAAAAAAAAACAACAACAGAGGATGAGACCTACGCATACGAAGCACGGGTCACTTATGTGGGCACTTTGTCTCTCCCAGCGCCTACGACTGGTCTCATGTATGCTTAAGTATCAGCTCAGGAAAACACCCAGGAAGCCTCATGACTAAGTAGGAGAGGAATGCCGAAGACACCCTTCCTTCCATCCATCCAGCCAGCCCACTTCTGCCAAGATTCCTTGCAGGATTTTTTGGAAAGAACTGATCTAACTCTTCAAGTGGTGAGTTGCAAACTATAAATCAGCCTATGAGTGAAAATGAGTCAACAGAATTCGAACAGCCCTGGAATAACAGTAACCGAGGTCACATTGTCTTCAGTGGTGGGATTCAGCCAGTTCGCACCACTTCGGGAGACGCAGCTGTTAACTTTCTGAGCTGTCTGGTGAACTGGTAGTTGGAAGAAATCATTAGGCTGATTTATA